TATATATATATATATATTAAAGACGAATATAATGCCTTTGCTATGCACTTGGCTTACACATGGATCGTTTGGTAGGGGTGTATAATATAATATGATGCATTTTGTAATACATTTATTAATTATGTTGACATTAATTATGTTGAGTTATTGTATATTAAAAAATATATTATGCAGTGCATAATTTTTTTTAAAATTATATATTTATCTACAAAAATAACCTTTAAGCTATTTGGAAGGATGAGGAGAAGGTTTTGAGAGGCAATTGTGTCTTTAATCATGCTAATGCATGCATTAAAAATACTTGTATTTCTAATTATTTATCGTGTATTAGTTATAAATTGCCTAATACCAAATAGAATGTGTAGTTATTAGTTATACATAGATATAAAAAAAAAATATACAAAATAAGATATTAAAAATACATAAAATTAAAATGTATATGCATTCCATCTCACACTATTCACATGTTTCAATTCGCTTCACCTACCATTGTTTATGAAATAATAATAAATATTAAGATATGGTCAAAAAGATCTGTAGAGAGAGATTTTATTTTTCTTCGGACTATTGTACACATAAACATATATAGCTTTTTATTTATAAAAAGAAGAAGAGGGAGAATTTGCTGCAAGGCTTTTCATAAAACACAGGCAAAGAAAGAATATATTTGAAGTCACTAGCTATGATATATCTTTCTTTAATTTTTGTTGTACATGATATATCTGTCTTAAAGATTGTATATTAATACTTATTTATGAAGGTTTGTGCAATATTGTCCCCCTCTGCTTGTGCGTTGTATAGATTTTGGATGAAATAAAAGACTAGCGCTATAGAATACATAAAATTTACATTAAAAAAATTTGTGTGAGCTACTTACAACCTATCTACTTGAGCTACTTGTAAGTTGTCTGCTTGATTGCAATTTTGAGAAAGTTGTTGTATTGACTTTTCAGAAAGTTGCTTGCTAGCTATCTGCTTAGCTACTTACAAGTTGCTTTCTTGATTCAAACTTATCTAAACAGTTTATGTATTTAATTGGACAATCACAATACAATTAAATGTTTATTACTCATAAATATTATGCTTCGCTAAAATTTTACTAGAAAAAAATTAATAAAATAAATTCTAATGCAAAAAAAAAAAAAGAGTACTCATATTTGATAGATTTGAATATTAAATCATGTGTTTTATTATTGAAATTCGCAAAAAAATTTTATTCACTTCAACTTCATTCAAATGTAGCTAAAGTTTAGCCAAATATATACCTTGATCACATGCATGAAGCGAAAATATTCAGCTACACGTTAGCCACACATTACTGAAAATATTCAAATAGAAATTTTCAACTTTAATCGTGTACATCTAATGTTTCTGAATAAGGTAAACTTATACTATAATTTTTAACCACCTTAAAACAAGTCTTGCATAAGCAAATTAATAATTATAGAGTTTAATACGTACAAAATTAGTAGTACAAATACTGCAGGAGGAGCATAGTTATAGGCCAACCCAGCCCATATTGATAAATATACATTACATCGTACATTGTCCGACCTAGAAGTAGAACTTAAGTCGTTTTATTTTTTCCCATAAAAAAAGCTTAAAGACATTAAACCACACAAAACATTTACTCATATATTTAGAACTTAGAAGTAATATAAATCATATTGTGTTGGCCAGCGACGATCGACGATCCTTTACGAGTGGCAGCCGTAAGTAAGTTTAATAACATCATAGTAACAACGGGGACATGTCCTATCGAAGCAATCACTCTTCTGTCGACAGTATCCACCACAACCACCCATCAATTTATAACCATTCAGTTTTGATTTCAAATCTGTTATATTCTGCGACAAGTCTCTTGCAGCAATTACTTTCACATTTGGAGACTTCGCCAAATAAACTATATTCCATCAACAAAAAAAATAATCAAGTGTCAAAATCAATGTCATGGTATCATTTTTGCTCGAACGTTAAAAAATTACACTGTATAATGAAAAGGGAGGGAAGTGTAGTAAAAGATCATTACCAGATATCACAATAAATGCAACAGCGAAATAGAAAGCATAATTGCGAGCCATAACAATATAGAGTACTATAGTATTACGTACTAATTAAGATGGATAGAGAGAGAGGAGAGAATTATGTAATGTTATTGTAGTGCAATTTTTTGCTTCATGAAAGGCAATGAATTTATAGGCATCTCTCCCTCATATTTCTGTCTATCTAAATATTGGGTAACGCTAGGCCCATGAGGGGTTTGAGGTGTCTCGGGTCGCAGAGGCAGAGCCAAGATTAGGAGTTAGGAGGTTCTACATTTTAGGACAGAAGGTTAGAATATTGCAAAACATGTTTTTTTTTAAGAAACTATTGTTAATGGTGGATTTGTCTGAACTCTCGAACGCCTACTTAGCTGTGTCCGATCTAGTCATGATCGAACATAATGCTTTCTTTGTGGACTTATTAATTAAGAAATAAAGTTATACATTTACTATCAATTATATTTTTAATATAATAATAAGCGATTGATCCTAACATTAAATTTACAGCTGTCTTTAACGAAGTTATATAATTAGGCACCAATATTTGTTGAATCAATTATATGCAAGAAAAAGGAGAGGATAAGTCTGGATATTGAGCACATTTTTAGTAGAGTCTCCTTCCACTTTTAATCTCTCAAAGGGACATATGCTAGTGGTCATCGTCATAGATTTGGATTTAACTAGATTTATATAATAACTACAAATATAATAATACCTTTGATATAAAAGTGGCTTAGGCTCTTTCTCCGTTTTACTTTCCATTTCACAATATGCACATGTTCAATTCACTTCACCTAATAAAACTGTTTACAAAATATATATTTATTCAAGAAACTTTTTCCATTTCACACTATTGAATTGGATGAGCTTATAAAAAGTAACTTATAAGTCAAAAGTTAAAAGTGACAAGTAGATGGTACTCTACTTGTATCTTTGAATTTTTTGACCTAAAAATAAGTGCTTAAAAATACTTTATAACCTTATCAAACACCTCTAAAACTATAAAAATTTACTTAATAGTCGAAAGCACTTTTAAGTAATCTACGAAGAAAGAAGGAGGAAGGACAAATCAACCAAATATACTATTCCTCATCGGTAAGTATTTTGCGACACCCTTTCGGTACGCACATCGTCTAGAGCCAGTGATCGTGCCATCAATTCTGCCAAAAGTCTTTTGGGTAATTAAAAATTGAGAATATACTATGAACCAATCTCAGCCTAATGTTGAAACCTATACGGATGTCACACAACTAGTTATTGGGCTGAGAAGAAACAATAAAATTAGAAGGTAAGGCATAGGTTTATTTGGGATCTAGACTCAATTAACAACTAGTTAAAAGAATGACGGATGAGAAAGAACAATTTAGGCAAATTGTTGAGAAAAATGTCTAGCTCTCTCATCCCCTTTCTTTGAGTTTAAGCTTCTCGTTCTTCCTTCTAGTTATCTTCTTCAATAGTTTCTTTGCTTTACTAGTTCATTATTGTTCTGCAATTTCCTTGTTAGTTCCATTTTTTGTTGTAACTGTGAGTTTAGTGATTCTAATATTTGAATGTTTCTATTGTGAAATTGGAGTTGTTACAAGAAAAAACAACACAAATTGGACTCATTAGGCAAAATATTTATTTAAATTGGACCCAAAATTCAATATATTTATTCAGATTGAACCAACAACCCAAACTATTTATCTGATTGCCCCCTTGTTCTATTCATTGAATCACTGTTGATATCATCAGAGTACGTATATGGTATTTATATACTCTCATAGTATCAATCAATAATTGAACAGTCTTTTCACTAAAACATTGTCTCTTCCTTCTTGATGCAATCAAAGTATATATATACTCTAATGGTATCAATCAATAATTGAATAGTTTTTTCACCGAAACACTGCCTCTTCCTTCTTAATGCAATCAAAGTATATATATACTCTAATAGTATCAAGGAGTAACTGAGTAGTGTTTTCATCGAAACACTGTTTCTTCCTCTTTGATAGCATCAATATATTTCGATGGTATCGAGCGATCAACTTGAATTAGTAGTTAAAAATAAGAGGGGAAGATATAAAGTAAGGGAATAGCCGCTTATAAATAGTTTCCCTTTTTGGGATATATAAGTGTTCTTTTCCAATAAAAATTTGGTGGTGTGATCTATCTGGGCATTGCTATTTAATTTGCGTCCACTTTTAAAAAATAGAGAACATAATTAAATAGTTGTTCATTAAGAGAATAGTATGCAAATGTATATATTTGTTTCTCCCTTGTTTGCATATATATGGAACTTTGGTTAAATTTAAATCGTGCACTACAGGGCCCATTCTAGGGATGTTGCTCTCAACAAATTTTTCTCCACATTCAGAATTCGAATTTGAAATCTTTAATTAAGGTCGAGCAATCCCACCACCGCAACATAACCCATATTGATCCTTCCTAGAAACTTTAATCCTCAACAAAATCAGTGAAAAACACTATTTTACAAACATCCACCAACAAACCTTATTCGTTTTGCAATAATATTAATTGGTCCAAATCCAATCATATTTTGGATATATATACAGAGGCGGATCCACCCTATAGGGCGGCGTGCACGTGAAACGGTTAACTTTGAAAAAAATCATGTGTATAGATGTATGTCTATCTTGAGAATCTGACATAAATTAGGATATAATTAACTGTGCATTCATAAAAGTATAGAGGAACCACCCACGAGACCTGAGTTTGAATATAGCTACAACGCTATTTTATTGTTTTTATTTTTTAAGTTTGTCTTAGAGCTCATATTTAAGCTAAGGTAATATTGATGCACCCGAAATCTTAAAATCCTGGGTCCGCCACTATATATATATATGGTCCGCATTCCCTCCTTATGAACCCAACTAAGATATATAGCTATCTTTAGTAAACAGAAAACAAATCTTCCATAAAGCAAATTGATTATAGAGTTGCACTCCAAACAAAAAGTACAAATATTGTAGGCCAACACAACTCATCTTGATAGATATTACATCCGACATTATCCTTCCTCTATTATTATTATAAGGTAGAAGTAGAACTTAGTCGTTCTATTTTTTCCATTAAAAAAAAAGAAAGCTTAAATGAGAAAAGGAAAACACACAAGCAAATTAAAGGAAATAAACCACACAAACATATTTATAGAAAATAATTCATATTGTGTTGGCCATGAATAATGGATCCTTTACTAGTGGCAGCTGTAGGTATGTGCAAGAACATCGTAGAGACAACGGGGACATGACCGAGCATAACAATCACTACTCTGTCGACAGGATCCACCACAACCACCCATCAAGTTATAACCATTCACTTTTGATTTCAAATCTGTTTTAGTCCGAGATACGTCTCTCGCAGCATCTATTTTCACTTTCGTAGACTCATCCAAATAAACTAATTGAAAAATCAAATAAAATATTGTTATTCAAATGTATAAAAGATAATAAACATATATCAAATAAAATAAAAAGATATATAATGAGGCGTAGAAATATATAAATCATTTACCAGACATCACCAAAAGAGCAATAGTGAAATAGAAAGCGTAATTGCGAGCCATAACAACAACAATACTATTATTGCTAAGAAGAAGGAGAAAAATATAGACGTATAGGAGAATTATGTGTTATGGCAATGCAATATTTTGGTTCATGAAGGGCTATCATTTTATAGGCCCCTCTCCCCGATATTTCTGCCTTATCTAATTTACAACTTGTCCACAAATGTGTTATGTGTGTGGGGTGGGGGCTTCGCTTTTTTAAAGTGACTTATCCCTCCGTTTTAAATTGAGTGATCTATTTTGAAGATTTAATATCTCAGATGGTCACTTAATTAACTTTCAATAGTTCACTTAAAAAGTCGCTCAACTTTGAGTTGTTCACTTCGAAAGTCACTCAACTTTGTTTTATAACTTAAAAGTCACTCAGCTATTATAGTTTACTTAAAAAGCCACCCAACTAATTTTAATTATTTTTTTCATTAAATTTTGTAAAATACAAAAAAAATATTAACTATTTTAAAAAAAAAAGAAGATGCTTATTTTAATTATTTTATTGAATTTTGTTGAAGTATGATTTTTCTTTTTACCTATTTTTTTTAATTTTTAAAAAGGGCACTGTGCTGAGTGTTTTTTATTACTTCTTATCGATTCCAACTTCTTCTTCTTTGGATCATTTTTAACATATTTAATTCCAGTTATATAATTGCTAAAACATAAAAAGTTTTTTGTGGGGTCAATTGCTACGGTATGTTTTTTTCTAAAAATATACTAATTAAATAATTCGGATTAACAAAATAATTAGAATAAATATCTTATTATTTCTTTAAAAAATAGTTTAACATAAAAATAAATTTCAATAAAATTTGTGAATTTTTTAAAAATTGATTGAGTGACTTTCTAAGTGAAATATCAATAGTGACATTCTAAGTGAAACCTCAATAGTCGAGTGACTTTTGAGTTATAAAACAACGTTGAGTGACTTTCTAAGTGGACAACTCAAAGTTGAATGACTTTAAATTGAACAATTCAAAGTTGAGTGACCATATGAGATATTAACTCCTATTTTGAATTATCACGAAATTTAAAAGAGTAAAGAAAACTTTTAGATTTTGTGGTCTAGAATTAAAAATTGTAAAATGTTATTTAATTTTGTGATTTTAAATATGTCATGTGAAAAGTTGAAACGCAAAAAAAACTAGGTCAAATAAATTGAAACAAAGGGAGAAAAAAGTAGGACAAACAAATTGAAACTTCTAGGTTTTGTTTTTCTTGACTTTTTCCGTCTAAAAGAGTGTTTAAAAACATTTTTGGTGTTTTCTAAACACTTTCAAATATTTTTTTTTAATTTAAAAAACTACTTAAAATAAATTAATCCATACACTCACTTATATTTGATAGCCTTTTAATTTTATGTACTTCTTACACTTTGTTTGGATCATTGTTAGCCATTGTTTCATAATGTATTGTATTTTATTCTATTGTATTGTACTGTATGGTAGATACAATGTTTGGCTAGACTGTATTGTTTGTTGTTGTTTAATAACATTTTTATTGTTTGGTTTGACTGTATCGTACTATATTGTAATTTATAAATTTACTAAAATATCCTTAATTATTCTAGGGTAGGAGGTTTGACTAGAATTAAATAATATAGGGTAAAGGGTAAAATAGTATTATGAAATATTATGTAAGGATATAATTAGAAAAAGAAATTAAGTAACAATGGAAACACACCAAATCGGTTGTTCCAAAAATGGGAGTTTTCGTTGTTAGGTAACAACGAAATTTAACAATACAGTACAATACATTTTAAGTAACAATCAAAACAAACATTGTAAGTATGATAACAATACAATACAATATAATGGGTAACAATGATTCAAACATAGTAAAACAATCACTTTTACATATAAATTATCCAATAAAATCATTTTCCTCTCATCAATTTGTAAATGGCCATAAGTTATATTGTTAGGAAGTTGAATGAATGAAGAGCAAAAATGGAGGATAAGTCCGGATGATGGACAGCTTCCCTACCAGTCTCAGTGGAATGCTAGTGGGGGCTTCATACATTTGGAGTATTCATTCAAGTGGCTTACATCTCCTTTTTTTCCTTTTCCCTTTCACACTAAATATATTAAACACTAATATGCCAGATCAAAATTCATTATTAATTAAACGATGAGATAAAATCTTTAAATAATTCAAAAATAGGATTAACAAAATAAAATAAAATTTATGACCTAATGGAAATATTTTTGTGCGTTTGATGGGCAAGGAAATTAGTTGAAAGTTTAGTTACACATACATTTTTGTGACAAAAGGGTTGTTGATGTGAATATATTTATTTTTATGAAATGATATTAAAGAGATTATTACAGTATCCATAATCCTTTTGTAAATTCTGTATATAAAGGGTAGCGCTGATATTAAGTTTTTGCCGACATGCCAAAAATGAAAGAAGGCTTTGATTTCTTCTCTCTATTTTTTCGGCTGTGAGTGTGAGTGTGACTCTCTCTACCTTACTTATTGTTCTTTTTCTTCTTAGCTGAAAAGTGAAAATGACTTGCATCTTTCTCGTTCATGAACTTAGATTTAGTGTTAGTGTTAGTGATAGTGGAGTAGTTCTACCAATGATAAACAAAATTTAAATTCATCACCCTAAATCAATTCAAAGCATCAAAAATCGATTTTTTCTGTTCTATTTTGGTTTTTTATTTAATCCTAATACTGCACGCACGGTAACAAAAATACATTTTAATGGTAAAAAATACACACATAAGTAATTATCAGAAAGTCCTAAAGCCTTTCATTATCTAGTAAGACCTAGAAATTTCACGATGTTAGAATGTATGTGTCCATTAATGATCATTGGACCAGGTCCCTCGACAAACTAATAGTGCGGAAAATAAATAACTCAAGGTAAATCAAACACAAGAGATTTTACGTGGAAACCCCTTTGCTCAAGGGAGAAGAAAATCATGACCTGTACCCACATGATTTCCATCCGAACTCCATTTAACTATAAAAGGAGCAAAGCTTCATATTACAAACTCTTGTAACCTAAGGATTGAACTCTTAATCCCTTCCCCCTTATTGTAGCAACTCTACTACAAAGGAAACTAAGCAATAACTCTATTGTCCACTAAACCAACTAGCTCTAGTTGATCTAGACTTCAAGAACCCAGCAAGGCTGACTCTAGCCACCAACTCAGATCTCACAGATAGGAGCATAAGCAAGCAGCAAGTATGTTGCACTCACACATCAACTTACTCTAGTTGACACTCCTAGGAAACTCTACCAAAGAGAACATCAAAACAATGATGTAAAGAGGCTTGACAAAAAACATAGATGATTCGACTAACTAACTCTAGTTAATCCGACTCAAACTCAAGACTTAGACAAGCAACTGATCTACTATCCGTTATAACTTCGGAGTAGATTTACAATATAAGAACACAAGACACAAAGCTCAAAATACAACAAACGACCCTTCAACACTCCATCAAGTCCCTTGTTGAGTATGAACAGTGCTCTTCTTTGAAGATGACTTTTTCTTTGTGAGCTTATGAATTTTCAAAATTCAAAAGTTTATTTGCCAAAATTTAGGGTGTCTTTGGAGAAGAGACTAATATAAAATAGACACAAACCCTTGGGACAAAGCCATTGGCTGAGCTTGCTGCTATGAAAAGACATGCACCAGCCACAACAGATTTGGCAGCTTTTAGACAGTTGTCTTTTCTCTTTTTCACGTACGCAGTCTTTCCTTGACCGGATTCCTTGTTAGATCTGAAAGTTTGTTAAATCATCAAAACTTCAAATCAACTCCAAACTAACACATGATTCTAGATTTTCATCCGGGATTCAAAGGACTAACAAAGTTCAAGGTGATTTTTCTACTTCTACTATTTTGAAAACTTACGATGTATAACAATGTTTAGATGCTTGGTTGGGAGCGCTTCCCTCAGAATTGGGTCTTACGTCGTGTGAATTGAGAATAGTCGGGTTGCAATGCGAATATTGAACGCCGGATGAAAAAAGAAATATTTAGATGGTAAATACCCAATAAAAGAGACCTCAATTGAGGAATTAAGATGAGTAAGTAGTTGGTTTAACAATATTTAATCATTTATTAAGAAATGATTAGACAAGATTTTTTATTTTTTTTTTCTGGTAAAACGGGAGATATTATATTAACTTAGTCAAGTTAAAATACATTGTTTCCGGTTTGTCCCGGTACATAATTAAGGGTCATTTGTTCGCCAATATTACAGGCAGTACTAGTTATTTTTAATAGCGAAAGTAGTTCCTATAGTGTCTACTTGGAACTCCTTAATAATGGAACACACTATATATAATAATAAAAAGGAAATCGAGACGTTGATAACGATAGAGTTTATTGAAAATTAAAAGTAGAGAAACATTACCCATACCATATATATCTGGTAAAATTAAGGAAAATCAAAACAGAAAAGCAAAGACAATTAATTAATTAATTAATACTAATTAATTGTGGTGTCCGGCGATGAAGAATATATATATGATCCTTTATTTGCCACAGTAGTAGGTAAGATTTACAGGATCATAGTTACAACGGGGACAGTAATTCCTATCCCAACAATCACGGTCGTGCTGACAGTATCCACCACAAACACTAGGATAACCCATCGCTCTTGGCAATTCATCACCCAAATAAACTACAATTAATAAAAACAAAATCAATATTAAACATATTTTGTACGTATCAAATGGTTAAAAAAAGAAAGAATTCAAGTGTAGAAAAATGTCATTTACCAGATATCACCAAAAGGGAAACTATGAAATAGAAAGCATAATTGCGAGTCATGACAATATATAGTTATTTACTAAGACGAAGAAAGATAAGAAAATATGTTATTGCAGTGCAATTTGTTTGCTTAATTCTTATGAAGGGCCATGAATTTATAGGCCTATATCTCCCAAGTATATTTGCTTATTGTTTAATTTACAACTTGTCCATAACTAATTAAGTTATATATATTGGTAGCAAGTTGAATCAAATTTTTATTGAAGAAATAAAGGGGAGGATAAGCTCGGTTGATCGATGAGCACCTCGGTAGAAGAGCTTATCTCCAGTTTAATAGCTAAAG